ACCAAGAACCTGGTAGGCTTCCCACTCCACTATTTTTCTGTCCAGCCCCTGCCAGTCCATCTAGACAGGTCAGGGATCATTGGGCATAATATCCCATGTCTTCCATCGTCCAGCTGGGGCAACCTGGCTGCATCCATGGTCATGCTTTCAGCTTGCCCCATGTACAGACCTACATCGACATGAGTGTAAGACTTAACTTCTTAGAGCAGTTTGTAAGGAGGTAAGGGCTTCATGGAGTTCAACAGAAATCAACAGAAATATATGTGAACATTGCATGCTTAGTTAGTCAGTCACTACTAACACATTAGATCGTATCTTTTAAAGAAATATATTATAGCTTGGTAGCTCTTCCTACCTCTATAATGTGGTTTATGTTTTTCAGGAAAACTTTCCAGTCTACTGTGAAGTCCTCACAAAGGTTAAGGTTCTTGAGAAGATACCTGAACTGCTTGTCTGATAATTTAAAGCAGAAATGGTCAAGTACTTGCCGAAATTCCAGTGCTTTAATTACTCCAGTGTCTTCTTTATCAAATAGAGAAAATGCCTGAGAAGCAAGAATTTAAATTATTTAAGCAAACCTAGACATTCCAAAAGAGAAGTCTTTTTTTAGCAACCATTTAGCAGTTCATATGGAAATACCTGAGACCCGCATGCCTTTTACTTCCAGTTATTTCGCACACAAAGAAACAAAACACATTTCTCAGAACCTTACTTAGTTTGAAACTTTCCATTCTTTTAAAAACGAGATGCAATGAGATGCAATGGTTGAAATAAGCAAAAAACAGCCTGTACTTCTGTGCCACATGTAAATATGAATATGGAAATAAAAACCAACCTATAGTAAAAGCAGAAAGACATTATATCAAGTACTCGAACATTCCAGAAAAGGTAGTGGGTAAGAAAAGAGAGGAAGCGAACAAAAATATTTGAGGGCTGTCTTAAATAATTTTAATAAAAATATTTTTAATGAAACTTACCAGAGAGTATTTAATTTCCACCACCCCCACCCACCAAAAAAAAAAAAAAAAAAGAAAAAGAAAGAAAGACTGTTCCTGTTGGGGCAAGTTTTTTTTCCTGCTCTCTGGAGGACTCAATAGTCCTTCATCCTCACTACCTTCAGCTCATCCTGAAGGCTTACTTGCTCTCTTCTCATTCTCCGTTGCTCAAAACGCTGTGCCTATAACCAACCTTCCAAAGGTTTCCCAGGGAAAACAGATTAAGTTTAGCACAGCTGCAGCAGGAGGCACTCAGATGAGTGGTAGAAATACCAAGGTCTAGAAAAGTTGTGGGTCATATCCACTCTCATTCTGCCTGGCTGCTACTAACTTACCATGTCCCCTTGTTTGATTCAGCCCCTTATTTATGATGTTGCACTGATTCCATAAATGTAAATGAACCTAACACCTTCCAAAACTTCAGGTTAAAGTCCTGCTAACACTATAGCATATTGTTGTAATGTGGCAATTTTTATGTTTTACCAGTAAAACTCTTCTAAATAATGGGTTTAAAAAATATATATTTAAAGTACATGGATCATGCCTAGTGGCAAAACAAATGGTACCATATCCAAAGGACATCAGAAAGGAATCCTCTGAAGACTAAAAAAAGGATTCTGTAACTTCTTAATATAAAAGTTTGATCTTTGTTTAAGTACTGAAAGCCTTATGGGAAAAACAAAGCATTGAGTGTATAGTACGCATTGTAGAGAATATGGTGAAAATAAATGGGAAGTTATTATACTGACAGAGAGGACCCACCTGAACTCGTAAACTATTTGTTATGAAACTTCAAAGATCTATATTCAGTTGTAGAAATGTCATGGATGGGCTGTGATGGCAATTTTTCCAACTAGCTGGGCTCTAGGAACCTTGCTTTCAGACCTGCCTCTTTACCACAAAATATTTGGTTACAAGCTTATGTTGTTAAGATTCCCCCGTCACAAAGGTGGCAGCAACTATTACTCAAAAATTGCCTCAGAAGAAAATTGAGAACTTTATTTTTTCATGTAAGGGAAAGGAGAAGAAGTTCTCCTTTTCCATAACATGATGAACAAAGTCTGGCTCTCCATGGAGAAAATCCGCTGGTTCCTGAAATCATATTAACCACCAAATGGTATCATAAAAGACTAAATGCATGGTTTGTTCATGTCACAAGTCATTTTCAAATCATACCTTCAGCAGACAAAACTGTGACCTTCTCCATTCCCAGAGGTGAGAGGACAGATACTGTCTTCTATTAAAATTTAACAAACACTAACCTGTGCTATTGAATTTATCCATTTCTTACTTCAGTAATGCAGAGCACAGGAAGGATTTTTTTTTCCCTTACTATGAAAAAATGTAAAGTGATTATATAAATACTTCAGTATCCTGTTCAATAGTTTGTCTATCTGGCCAAAAATGGCAATGTAGCCCCAATATGTTTATAAATGTCACAGGAGTCTCCGAACAGTGTGAAAAGAGATTTTTGTAAAGAAACACCATCTCTCAAGTACTGCTATTTTTTGGGTGCTTGTACCAGTGACATCACTAGTTATGTCTTTGTTGGAAACCTGTGTTCTTTTTAACTGCGGGATAGAGTCCACAGACTGAGATTTCAGAACTGCAGCCATTGATGACAGGGAATTTCTACCCCCATTGTCTCCCCAGCCACTGTTCTCTTACCCTCCCTTGTGCAGGCAGCAGCCCTCCCCTGGCCATGCACAACTGATCAGGCTTTTGCCATTTTGAATTCCCCGACCCGGGTCATTGAGCAGGAAGGCAAGTACTGGTTTTGACACGAGGTTGGCAGGAGGACCACATTGCTGAGTATACAGGGGTAGCAAGACCATCTTTCCAGGCACAAGCCTGCCTCTAAGGCCATGAGCTTAAACTGGGCCTAAAACTACAGATGGCTCTACAGTTCTTTGCGATAGCAATGTTTCCTTCAAGGTCTTTTTGATTATTCTTTCCCACGCTTAAAAACAATCTCACTGTGGCATCAAGAATTACTCACTTTAGAGGCTGCTGCATTTCAGTAGACTCTGACACAACAGTCTAAGACTACTTAATAGACAGCATTTTTTTCATTCAGGGCTTTCAAAATTCTAGAGAGAAGTGGTTATTTTTATTGTTCTTATTTTACAGGTGGGAAAACCAGGAAACTTGCTGCATGACAGCTAATGCACCTTATCTGTCTGTGTCAGAATCAGAAGTGGCCAAGAGCATAAATGCAGATAGTTGCAGAGCCCCAGCTGACAGGTGCTAACTTCTGCAGCCACTATAATGCGCTCACATCTGATCATATGTCTTTATCCCCAGTTGCTACGTGATCCTTTCATCTGATAAAACCATAATGCTTGCCTGCAGTAGCACATTATATCTACTTATAATAAGTCACAGCTTAGGAAACTCAGCAGAGCTATTTGAAAGACTTGTGATATTTACACACTTGGGACACAATTTACAGACAACTGGAGGAGGAAAAGGGGTTAGGGGAAGAGAGGAAGGTCCTGATAATTTGCTATTTGCTTCTTCTTTTCCAATCCTTACCTTCACAAAACCTCTAGGCTTGATTTGATACGCTTGTTTTGTGGAGTTACCAGAATACAATCAATTAAGAAGTCTGCAGTTGTCAGAAGATGCTATTTTTACATAGGCCAAAGCTGTTGGTAGCACTCAATTAATAGCAGGAAAGTTTTGAAGCCTTTGGGTTAGTCCCCAGCCAGGCAGAAAAAAAATAGACATTAAATAAGATGCAGTGACCACATGAAACTTACCTTGTACAACAAATCATAAGATGATGCAACTATTTCTTTTATCTTAATTAGGGTCTGTTCTAAGCTGAGCACTGCAAAGCTTGCAGGTGGTGCAGCCTGCTTTTGTCTCTGTTGGTATTTAGATGTTCTGCCATCATCAATTGCTCTCAGGAAATCAAAATAAGAGAGCTTGCCATGATGAATGCTGATTCCTAAGCTAAGGGAAAAACACAGAATGAGATATCAATGATTTTAAATAATTACCTCACTGTTGTCTGTACTGATTAATTATTATGATGTATTATTTGTACTGCAGCAGCACTTTAAGATACGCTTGTGCTGTCAGTGTATAAATCCTGATAGTTCCAGCCCAAGCTCTTTATCAGGTCTAAGCCACCAATCCCATCATTTAAATGCAACCACACGCTCAGATGCAGATCCAGGCCAATCTCCAGGTGCTCAAGAGGAGACCTGCTTTATCTTGGGCCCAAATGCACAACCTTCTGGTCCATCAGCATTAACGTTGTGATTTTTAAACACAGCACAGTATTTTGATCACAACCTGAGCTTACCATACCCAATATGGCTGGAGGACATGTAGGCTCCCAACCTTATCCTTGAATTGCCTTTTCACATCACAGTATAAACACAATAGACTCTGTTGAAGAGTTCGTTGTGCTAAGTGCTGGTACTTTCCCTTGACTTTCTGCTTTACTAATATACGTTTGTCTCACAGATGCCCAAGTGCTGCTTAAACCTCCCAATATGTCATGATCATTACAATTCTGAGAGAAAGAACAGAACCACGTGCAGCCTGGTAAGCTGTTACCAGACACAAGCTAGGACATCCAGTACTGCTCCAAGACACGTTCCATGGATGTACCAGCGCAGGTCTATACTCATGATTTTTCTATGACATGGGAGGAAACCAAACCAGGTTCCATATAATGCTTCTCTTTCTGTTTGTGATAGAAGGGCTTACCTTCCTTCTCAACCCGCACTTCTCTTTGCATGGTTTGTCAGGCCACTAGACAATTATTTTACATGTTCTTGGCAGGACTCGGCCTCACTGTCTCAGGCACTGGCCCTCCCTTCCTTGGTGTGTCCACTGAGCGGCACAGCGGGCTGGTGCATTTGGCCCAGCAGCCACTGCCGTTGACTCATGGCACCCTGTGTCCAGTGAGGGTTTCTCTTCTGATTGCTTGTGGTCAAGCTGTACCTGGGAGCCTAGCCCATGGGCTCTGCAGGCTGCACTCACAACTTTCTGAATTTCTGTCTGTCAGCTGAAACATCTGCTGGATCACAGACACTGGGGAATCTCATGTTCTGTCACATCGGAAATTCAGTGGGTTACAGAGCTGACTACAGATAGCTCCAGGTGACAACAGTGAATATATTTTTGCATCAAATATCAGCATGGGGAAAGATGAGCTCTTGCATATGATTTGGGAAGGCTTTTTTGCAGACGACTTTGTTACCAAACTAGATTAATTTTTATTCAAAGATGTTTTACCATAAAAAGACTGGAATTAAGGAAAGCTTCACATATGCAGAAAATATGTGAATATAAAAGTTAGGTAGCATGAAAGATTAAGAAAAGATGAATAGCTCTAACGGTTACACGAAAAGATTTCCTTCAATGTCCTGTGACTTGTGACCATTTAATGAAAAGACACCTAGTATATTTTAAACAAAGACTGCAAACCTGTCTAATGAGCCTGTAGAGCTCATCACCAGAAGGGACAGAGTAGCAGGGACTTGCTGTGCTCTCGCTTACCCAGTATAAAGCCAGTGTGGTCAGTTTGTGGAATTTCCTACCGCTGAAAGACAGAGTCTCTAGACTACAACATACGTTAAGTGGTTTTGATACAGATCCATTGGCTCCCATACAATTATTCCAGGTTGACCTTAGAGTTACCACCTATGGAGAGGTTTGTTAATAGACTTTAATAATATTAGAGCCAATTATCAGAAGTACAGATTCTTTACGCACACGTATTGGGTAGACAATTCCTACGCTGCAGGGGCAATGCTGGACTTTTTTTAGTCTTACATTCAGCTTTTTTGTTAGAATTATGGTCAAGGCAAGTCCTAGGTAGCCAAGACTTGACAGAGGAGATGGCCCCACTACATAACCCTGATTTTCTTGTTTAAAACTGAATTATGGTAACGTACTTTTATCATCTGTTTCCACAGTAAATCACTGGGGACCAATGTCTCAGCTACCAATCACCAGAATATCCAGTTACAAGAATGCCTAATTAATGGGGAGAGCCAGTAAAACAAAGAGGAAGCTTTATAAAACAGGCTGGAAAAGAAATTAACTATAGACCCCATATCTGCTAGTAAGAAAAAAAATATTCAAGAGCCCTGATTTTGCATCTTGCAGCTGCACAGCACTCCCACATACTACCCGTGTCAAGCTGGCTCCAATATTGGAGACAGTGTGTGGAAAAGGAAATAATCAACACCATTTCAGCAGAGAAATAAAGTGCCAAGTGGGCATTAAAATTTTAGTAATAAAACTAAATGCATATGCTAATCTACTCTGTATTATTTAGAAAAGACTATTTTGGATCAAGAAAGGAATAATCTGCACAAAATTACAATGAATGGAGGTGTTTATCATCAAGAGGTCTTTGAGAAAGAAACAAGCAGCAGATTCCTATTAAGGTTTCAATTCATAAAAAGTTGATCACCCAATTAAAGGTGAACTGTGAAAAGACTTTGTTAATTTTATTTCAAAAAAGAGTCTGGTCTGGCAGGCTCTGGAGAACAGAACCCAGTGCTGCCAGGCATACGACCTTTGAGGGACTGTTTGGTGCAGAGAACCGCAATATCTAATGTTGGAGCAGGCCCTTTGTGTTCTTCAGCCTCTACGGAAGAGATTTTCTTCTTACTCATATTAACATAGAGAATTAAAAGCATAGTTTTGTATGGCAGCAGCATTGGATCATTTGAAAATCATTGCTATTTTATAACCTGATTTAATTCTCTATCTATTTTGAACAGGATCTGTTTCACACACTTGCTCTATTAAAATGAAATTAAATAAATAAAACAAACTAGCAAACAAATACACACATTCAAATCATACTTTTTTATGTAAGAAGCCATTTAACTCTCGTTACCTACAGAATCAATACATTAACTAAAAAGATTTTTCAGGCATACGCAGTTTTAAGCATGTGAGTATCTCCATTAGTTTTAACAGAGCTTCTTACATGCTTAACACTAAGTAGAAGCCTCTGGGCTTTACTGAGTGCGACCGAAGAGGTCCTTAGGAGTTAATCACACAAACCTTTTTAGAAGACTTCTGAACTGATCGTGATCAAAGTAGTAGTTGAATTCTTGTAGTATCCTCTGCAGGTCACATACTGTTACATAGCCATCTTTATTTTTATCCACTTTATGAAAGGCCTTATTGAAATCTTGGAAGTAATCCCTAAATTTATCCCTGAAAGAGAGCAGATGTTTATTTTAGCTCCTTTGTTAAATCAGATAAAAAGGATACAAACAAATATACAAAATAGGGGTGGAGGAGCAGAGAAAGATTTTAAGCTTATTTGTGTGTGGTAAGTTCATACAATTTATTCAAAGACTGCCAAATCGTTCACAAATAAACCTCAAACACAACATCCCCCCTATTTAATTTGCACGTGGAATTGCATGGCTCAAGCCTCTCATTGTAAAGAAATGTTACTCGGGTGATTAACTGGCTACTCTCTCCATTCAGAACTGCAGATACAAAACATAGTTCTTTCTTTTAAAGTCTGTCCTGATTAGAGTTACAAAATGTTTAAGACAGCCATTAAAATGATAAAGGTTTGGCAGCATATTTTCCGCAATTTGAGGCTCCTGAAACTTTGACATAGTAAGAACGACTATTTCAACAAAACAGCTAGACCTGACCAAAGCCTGAAGTAGTGCAGGGCCTGATCCATGCCCAAGGGAAGAAGTGTACAAAGCTTCTGCTGACTCATGTGGACTTCAGATCAACCTCTCTGAGAAATTTATCATTTCTTACACATGATTGCTTTCAGGCCTCAAAATCTTGACTCTTCCTCTCACCTTATTTTGTCACTTACATTTCACTGACATCAGGGACCCATTGATCAAACTTCGGAAACACAAGCCATACGCCTCTCTGCCTCTGGGTTCAACCAATGCCTCTCCCCATCTTGGCTCAAGAAGACAAGTCAGGCACAAACATCTCTCATTACTGCATGTCTTCAACTAGCAAAACGGCTTAAGATTAATGCAAGTTAAAATAGCTGTGAATTATGTCTTGATGTAGATTACCAAGTATACATACATTCTCTACATATATTCTGCACTTACAAGATGCTACCCTTATGGCAAAAAATACACGTTTGGATCTGGGTTAGTACCTATAGCTGCACTCCATTTGCTTTGGGATTGCTCCTTCTGATAGTCCTAGGGTACAGAGAGTGGAGGCTGGGTTCTTTAGAGACTCGGGATTTGTAGTGTAAAGGGCTTATTGCAGTGCCAGTACAATTCAACAGTGTAACCCACATAATCAGGCATGATTCGTTGCCTCAGCCTCTCCCCAAGCCTGTCTGTGTATCTGACAGCTCAGACCAGTTCACTCTGCTCCTTCTTAAGCCACAGTCAATCAGCCAGGACATAAGCTTTACATTTTCCCCTTCATATGAATACCAGGCAATCAGTTGTTATAAGGCTAACATGGGGCATGTTAAATTTCATATGCTTTTTAGTAATACTCAGCAAGTCTTTTCAGAGCTCTACAAACTCTCACGGATCTCCTCAGAGGCATCTGGTCTCAGCTCGAGTTATTGGTGCTGTCTTTCCTCTCACAGCATTGCAGAATCCTTGGTTTTCCATTTGTTTTCAAGAAGCTGTAAGTTCAGTACAGCCTCTACACGAACAATACATTTTCCTTGCCAACTGTTTCTCCTGAGAATCTGTCCTTTTGGAGTTTGCACTTCATATGAACAAAGAGTAATTTCCCCACAGTCCTCAGGGTCCAGGAAACACCATAGTATATGCAAACAGCACCAGCTACCTTAATAAAATCTGAATTATGATGTGACTTAGGTGGGTTGTTAGCAATTTATTGTATGCTTTAGACCCATTGTACCTTCCACTGTTACATGGACTAAATTGGGAGTACCGGGACTCTCTGCTTAACCAAGTTTCAGATGGCAAGAAACCAATTTTTGCCGATATTTCTCTGAAGTTCAGTGAAAGTATGGATCATTTCTTAGTTATACAGCTTGTTCGAACTGTCTTTTAACAGCTTTAACTTAGCTCACTGTTGTATTCGGGGTGTCTGAATATCCTTCATTCCTTACAAATCATTTCAGGTCTGAGCTGCTGAACAGGGCACCATTGCTAGGCAAAATTTCTGGGGCTCCGTATCCAAACAAACAGAGCATTAATGCATGCCGTAACATGTTCTGATGTTAAATTCAATCCAAAAGCAATTTCGGGCTAATGCCTGAGTCAACAGGTTCAGATGTATCAACACATGGGTTTTTTTCTTTTACTTTTTTCAGCAGCCTTGTGAGTGTCCTGCACCCTGTGAGGCATGTCAGGTCATAACGCATTGACACCACCATGATGTTACCTCTGAAGTGTGTGCCGCTGAACACAGAAAACTGATCTGATTGGTCATATGGGCTTGGTATGCAATGCCCTTCCTACCCAACAAGGTCGTAACCTTCATAACTTTCTGCATTGTTTCATCTTTTGTACAGCCTCACCAAACCTTGCCAATTTCCTTCCGAAACCAGGTAATACTTTTAAAAATTGTATTTCCAGGTGTTGTGCCATCCTCTGTGTTGTTTTCAAGAGCATACTCTGTGAATGTTCTAGAAAGTGTGTCTTTGATCAGTAATTATTTCTCCAGCTTAAACTTTATTGTCAAATTGAATGTTTTTACCTAAAAAAACCCCCACTAAACGTCACACTATTTTTATATTCTGGAAGCTGGTCTTTCTTTTGCCTTCAAAGTGGTTTGTCTCAGCTCTGACCATAACAGATCGATAAACAAATATGTGACATTTCTTACAATCAGAGAGCAGGGCCAGAGCAGAGGCAGAGCTAGAAACACAGGCCACATATTTCCATTGATTATTTTTTCAATAATACTGCCTGTAAACCATCTTTTGAAGACTTTGTCTGTCTTCTAGTGCCAATATAGGTAAGGCCAGGAGTTGTCTTTATTAATGTCTTTAATTTGGGAATTATTTTCCCACTTTACAGCCCAATATGTCCATTTTGTGTATTAACTCAAAAGCTGCTCGCACAGATTGCCCAAGAGAAATGAACTCTCATGTAACTTTCACATGCTAACAGGCCTCTGGACACCCTTGTTATAGTTGTGGTTGGCATATTTTTAATGACTCTGTTTTATCTTGTTGACAGTTAATCTTTTGTTATTTCTCTGCCCTTACATTTGCATTTCTGTCTAATCCTACTTCTCAGGCCCTCTTGGATACTTTTTTCAGATTCCCTACTAGTTTTCTCTCTACTTGACACCTTCAGTATCTTCTTCCTGTGAAAACTCAAGAAGGGACTCTAAGCCTAAAGGAAGTCTTTGAAAGCAGAATCTCCTGTACAGTGGTCTAAAAACGCATAGTGTTAAACTCCTGTCATGCAAGGAATTTTGGCAGAAGAATATGAATTTGTATTTTTGGTAAAAAAATAATATTTGTAAAAAAATATGCAGTCCTTTTATCTGAAAATATCCTTTATAGGGCAGTGTCTGTCCTGAAACATATACTTAGCCCCATTGGATGTAAGAACAAGCTCAATGACTTGTCTTTTGATCTTGCTGTTGCTAACTGGCTCTTCAATTTTGAACTTCCCACCATTACTCCTAAATAATCTAGCTCCTTACGAGCTTCTCTCTCACAACCAGAGGAATGTTCCTAGCAGCACACATTGCTGTGAAAATACAGGTCTATGTTCTATGTCTACTTTATCTCTGACACTAAGAATTTCTGGGTACTGATCTCCTTTGTTTACAGTTCCTTCATCAGACTCACTGCTTTAACCAAGCCTAGGGCTAGGCATATTTTAGACCAAATATTAGCTCTTTCTGCCTACAAACTTAAACTACTGAGTTTCACTTTTCAATTTAAGTTCATACAATTCTTTAGTAGAAGATAGATTCTCAGTAGACCCCCTCAGTTTCAATAGTCTTTCTTCATATGTAGAGATTCCCGAGCCAGATTTTCTACAGTGTGTTTGGAGGTAACATTGACTGACCACCAATTTTGAATTAAGAGGTGTTTATTAGTCTGCAGCCCCCTTGTGCAGCTTTTGCACAAAATCTCTGTGTGATATTTTGTTGTATTTGTGGATTGTGCACCATCATATAGAGCTGGGGATGTGGAGGGTATTCCTTTGCTTCTGCTCTTCTGGTTGCAAGGTCTCGCAAAATAACTGTATTTCTTACAGCTGCTGAAGAATTTCTAAACTCCTGGACATAATGTGAATCTGTGAATTTTTGTATGTTGCATGTTGGCTACTTCTTGCAGTTGGCTCTGAAGAGTCTTCAAAACTCTTTCTAGTTTCCTTTCCCAATAGACAGCATGTCCCACTCCCCTTCCGATATAGCCATACTACCTCTTATGACTGTTCTAGCTTGACTAAACAGATTTCTATCTTTCCTTTTTTTTTTTTTTTAGATCCTACCTTCCTGGGATCCTTTCTGTATCTTTGGATCTTTGATGCCAATCATTATCTGATCCCTTAAAATGGAATCTCTGAAAACATCATAGCAACTTGACTGATCTGTTATATTAAGAGTAGCTAAAAATTCTTCAAAGGTTTCCTCCTTCTGCATCCTCATATGAAACCTATGTCTTTCAAAAGTTCAAGTTTCCTTGGGAGTGCAATATTCCTTCAACTTACTTTCTGCAGCTGCATGGATTGCCCTCTCACCCTGGCTTGGTTTCATGCCATTAAAAACTTTGATAGCTCCTACTCCTGTAATATTCCAGAAAATAGTTGTGCACTTCCTTATGATTAATCTAGCCATTGTATATAGGCTTCAGAGCATGATGTGAATCTTTTCAAGGAAACTGCAATATTGCCAGTGTGGTTTAGAGTGTCTAAAAGCCCCTAAAGAGCTATCACCTTTTCTCTCACTTTCAAATCTCTTTTTTCTAGTTAATTCCTCCCTCTTTTTCACATTCTGCTCCTGTTACCATGTGGTATTTGGTTTACACTCAAGACTCGGAAAGAGCATAGAAGTGTGCTGCAGAGGGTGCACATCAGTCAGAGTGCACTTGCATTGCACTCAGGCTGTCTTTACAGTCTTGAATCTCCATGTATCTAATTACTGACTAGCCAGCTTAGACGCCTTCAACCTCCTTTTAGATATGAGACCCTAGAGATCCAACATCTGCTAATTACATCTCTGAGTTTTATGATGTTCAGAAGCCTACAGACTTTCTGGCAGAGACACAAATCTAAAATCTCCTGACAGAGGGTTTGCTTTTTTGAGTTACTGTAATGTGCCACAGCTTAAAACCCATGGCTTTACAGCGATTGCAAAGCAGCAATGGCGGAGGAGCATGGATGCTGAGGCCCAGCAAGAGACCAAGAGAGTCGCACCTAGGAAGCAGGATACAGCAGCCTAAAAGCCAAAACCAGCTGACCACCCTAAGGGCAGTTTGTGATTTCATTGAGAGATTGATCTCCTCCAGCCTCAGAAGACTATTTAGCACCACTCCTTCCATCTTGCAAGGGTGTGCGTTGAAGGTGTGATATGGTCCACATTGTACCCTCTTTCAACTGTATGTTACTTTCAGTACCATTCTTCATCACCGTTATAATCTTCCACTTAAATCTTCCCAATGAAAGTAAAGGCTGAAGTAAAATCAAAACAGTTTTTGAGATTCATATTTTTGGAAAATTGAGGCATTCAACATTTTTGGACTGACAAAAGATTTCCAAGCAGTGATTTTTCCACTCACAGCAGTAAATATATGCGTGGAGAAAATGAGGATTAAAACCATAAATCAAGCTACAATGCCAAAAAATAATATTTTCTTGCAAATGTTTTGTATTTTTCTTGAAGAGCTGGAGAGCCACTGTTCAATCTCTGTTTCTAATTTGGGAGATTTGTTCCTGTGAGTTACAACAAAAGCAAAAAGAAAAAAAAAACTGCACAGCAGTATGTTTTGAATTGTAAGATGTCCAGAGTTTTTGTCTGCCTCACAGTGTGTAATCACAGGGCACTGAAAGTGCTCCAAAGCTGTCAGGGTGAGGTTCATAGCCCTTGCAGAAAGCCAGAAGAAAGGGCACAGGCTGGATGCAGCCACTGTGCAAGCGGAAATGAGAGGGCTTAAGCAAGATCACAGAAGGGGGAGTGAGTGCTGCTCCCAGTGCTGCTGAAGTGAGTCCTATAACGAGAAAATTCACAACCCAGGCAAATATCTCCTCCCAGTCTGAATTTGACAGGTGAAAGGAATCAGTTTTCCAACTCAACGAGAATGAAGTGGGGGCTGAGACCCACGTGGATCACCATGGTTCGGTTTTGCAGCCACCGCATCCGTTCTCCTGACCAAGAGCAGATCTCCTTACACTGACCTCTGCAGTAGGAGGGCATGGTGCCCACCTGTGCTTCCCATATCTCAGCTGTCTTATGTGGTCCTGGAGCAGAAAGCTGACACTCAGCTGGATCGCTGCCTTCACAGCCACCATGCCAAGGGATTTCATCCATCCGACAATGACTCCGGCTTAAGAGTCATTTGTGGCTTTCCAGGGCCTTACATGAAATCTGAGGAGTTCAGAGGCCTGGATTCAACTCCTCTTGCACTTCCAGCTTTCTGAGAGAGAAAACCAGACAGGAACTGCTACCACAGGTCTGCTCCCACTGGCCACGAGGTGGGTGAGGACATGTGGGAGACAAAAAGAGAACATTCAGCAGAACCAAAAGGTGGCAATAATCGATAACAAGGCATACTTTTGCAGACCGCAAGCGATTAAGCTGTGAACTCATTCCCAGACAAAGCTGCAGATGCCAGAAATTTCAAAAGATTAAGAACAGAACTGGATGTCCTATATATATAAATAAAGAAAAGCCAGACTCTAACAAAGAATTAGAACATAATTTTTGAAAGGAATATAAAAGTCCTATCTGCAGGCTTAGACCAAATTCCATCATTGCCCAGGATGAGACAGCCCCAGTGCAGGGGGCAGAATATTCCATGTGCATCTATTAGAGGGCTGCTCCACCTCAACCAGAAACACCTGGCTCTGGTTGCTAGCAGGTAACTGAATTCAGTTACACTTGACCCAGTCTTCCAGTTTCTGTTTTCCTCCAAATTACAGTTAAGCAATTGCTGTGCACTTGTAGGTATGCATTTGTGCATACAATTTCCACATACATAGTTCCATACCTAGTTATTGTTATGGTAGGCTCTCAAAAGTAAATAATTCTAAATGATGTGGACCTGCCAGCACGTTACATCATGACTATTTTATTTTTAACCAGCATGTCTTCCCCATTGATTTAATTACTCTCCAGCTGCTTCAGGATGAGTATTTGCATCTTTGAGCCACACTGCATAATTTCTGCTTGCAGCACAGCATCTTCCCTACTTTCAGAGCTGCTTCTTATCTACAGCATTGGAGACTGGGCCACCTTGCACTTGGCATTGCACTAACAGGAAAGAAATAGAAGGTTCCTGACCAAAAGAGCTCTTAATCCAGGTCTAAGACTAGAAACAACTGGCTGGTACAACGAACAGAGCAGAAGAGCCCAGTATGAGACAGAGCCTAAGTTTCACATCAGACAGTTACAAATACAGCAATAAGCAATGCCGACAACACAGCAGCTGCCTAACCATCCCTGTTGTCTATTACGCATTTTTTTACAGGTGCAACACTTGTTGATACCTGTGGGTGTCATAAGTGCAGTTTATGCCAGAGAGCTGCAATGCAGGTGGGAGAGTTGTGATGCTGAAAAGGACAGACAGTTTTGCCCTTGATTCCTTCAGCCTATTTGGGATACTGAAAAACAGAATTTAAAGAAGCAGGGTAAAAAGGTAAAACCCTTAGCTTACAGGCTTCTCTCTGTGTTTTGTGGGTTTTCTTTTGTCTAATGATTTCCCAAGCTGCCTCTTTATCCGTAAGACATGGATGCTCTTGTTTGTTTACGAGTGTATCACCTTTACCAACAATGTCATGGGGAATTACCATTCTTATCAATAATAATTTATTAGTTCCTACAACTTCCAGACATTTTCCAAGCACAAAACAAAGCAAATCTGTGCTCTTGGGGGTATATTTGCACATGTGTTTTGTTTTGTTTTTTTCTTTCTCCTGAGGGTTTATTCTAATAAACAAACAAACAAACCCCAAACCAGTTCAGAAGAAGAGTGAAAGCACAAGAAGAAAGCATGATAAGCATCCAGGTGGTGTCTATCCATAACCTGGAAATATAAAGTTTTAACAGTACCGTGCTGAGACAGAGGATTCTCCTGTTGCCTCAGTCTGCTGGCAGGTGCAGGAATCCTATAGCAGCAGCAGGCTAATCACTGCTGACTCACTAGGGCAAGCATGGATCATTAGACTCCACTCTGAGTACGATATCATTTTGTCATTTGTTTGTCAAATGCTCTTCTCAGGAGAAATGACCTATTAACTCTGTGAGTGTTGATTCTGTTTGAGGCAGAGACTCTTGCTTGGAGACAAGATGTTTATTTCTGTCATACGGAGCCAGGGTCCACCCTTGTCAAGGCTGGATTTTGCTGCATCTACACAGCCATTTACTAACAATTTAACTACCTGCTAGAGGGATGTGAAACCAACTGTGATTGCTATTTGGCCCTCATCCAAACGACAGGGTAGGATATGGGACCAGCGTCCTACACGCTCACCCAGTCCAGCTGCAAGAAAAGCCCCTGTTGAGCGTAATCAGGTAGGTCTAAGTCTATGTTGTCTGAAGCAGTCTGAGAAGAGACTTGCAGCGTGACAAAACTGCCCTTGCTCTTCTCCCTCAATCTGAGCTAATAGCAGTGTTAGGGCTGGAACCACAAGCTGAGATGATATCAATAAAAAGGCCAGGGAGTGCTCCAGGTACAGAGGCTGGCTAGCACATCTCTGCTAGTGGACCTTCTCAGCCACCAGAAGGGAGCAGATGCCTGCAAACTGCCTGTAAAGAACGGTCCGTGAAGCATTCTTGCTCCCAAATGGTGCTGAGAGTGATCAGGGAAAACATTAGCTGACAGAGCCCAAAGTGTGACAAGGACTGCTTTAGCAGTCTAGCACCGTAGATGACTGAGGCTGGGAATGTCTCTGGTCGTTCTGATTTGTCAGTACAGATGCTGCCACAAAGTCTATAAAATAAGTAATATAAGCAATGGAGAATACCTATCAAAAAAGTCTCACAGTGCACACTGAGCTAGGCTTATCTCCAGCAAATCAAAGGAATAACACTAAGGATAAGCTTGGTCCAGTACCTTCCTAGACTGCTTTTCAGAGTCTTTTTTTGGTAATATTACATTTGTATTGTGAGCAGTGTCATCTTAACAAACAAAATACAAACAGAAAGTTATATGCTAAACTCATAAATAACTTACTTGATTTGCTCTGTAATTTCTCTTATATGCAGAGCTTTAGTTTGCTGCTTCTGCTGCTCTTTCAGCTTTGAGTGTTTCTTCTGTTTATTATAATGCACTTGTGAATGTGCATAGCTGTCTTCTGTGATGTGTCTGCTGAGCCCTGTGTCAGTGGGTGCAAACTCTATCCCCAGTTTCTGTAAAAATTCTTGGTAAGATATCCTTTTGCATCTGTATCATACCTTGGAAAAGAAATGCTCTTTTTAAATATTCATGTGTTCCTCACAGAAAGGCATTACAGATGTCCTTGAGTGACTTAACAGCTTAAATCTCACTGACTTCCCTTCCTTATAGAGGTACCATAGCACAGTGAGAATGAGTGACTTTATATGAGACTCAAAAAACAGGGCTTATGCATTGTAATCACAGAGCCAATTCTGAAAATACTACCCTGAGGATCAAATTGTCAGGAATATTCTCCAACTCTTATGCTGCCTTTCAGTGTCTGGCTTGAGATGCAGAGAACTGGGCTCCTAAAAATCCAGTCTCGAGTGTCTCAAAGTGGTCACACAAGTCTGAGACACTCAGAATTGTAATTGCCCTTCAGAAACATAAGCTTAGCTTCATAAACACTTTTCATATTTTCTTAGGTATAAACCCTTCCATAGGCATTTTCTCCTGCAGTTTCTCCCCCTGCTAGTGCTCTGATGCATGGTAATGCCTCATTTAGCCTCAGCTTCACTCTAATTCCTTTATTCAAGCTACAGACACATCAGGCACGTAAGAGATTTTAGCTGTTCTGTAAAAGGAGTGGCTGATGGGAGTGAAGTTGCGCAGCAGATAACTGCATGAAAAGGATACTCTTCAGCATGCCATGGCATCCATAAGGAATAGGAATGGAAAGTAAAATCTAATGGAGTAGAAAATAATTCAAAGATGAATCAGTGCTAAGAAAAATCTATATAGTTAACACAGTTTGAAACCAAAATGCAATACACTCAGGTTCTATATGTTAGAGAGAGTAATTATTTTTTAAATAGACCTATAATGAAGGTAGCTTTTTGTATAATGTCACATACAGTCAACATCTATGCCATTTCAGACACAGTTTATCGCAGAGCTCCTCTTTATTGAAGGCAGACAAGTATTTTACCCCACTTCACAACAAATTAGTTGTCTATAAAAACATTTCACGATGTTACTTGCCATGTTTACACAGCATGAAACTACCTCACTTCCTTTTGTTATATATTTGGTATGTAGCATTTTTCTTTTGACTGAATTACTTCTATTTAGGTTGAAAATACTGTAAGTAAATGTAGTGCTCTGAAAAGGAGAGGTTGGCAGCACTGCTTTCAGATGTGTATGCTATGCGGACTGTCCACAGACCTTTTTGATGGAAGCTTTGTCTGCAGTTCCCACCTGACCTGAGACGTCTGGAACTGACTTTCACCCATCACAAACCGAGCTAGGCGTTTGTGTGTATAAACAAAATTGATGAAAATCAAGTTAATTTAGCCAGTGACCTAAGGTGGTATCCAAGAAGAAAATACATGTTAAAGGGATCAGTAATATTGAAGCCAAGAGAAAATCCTATCTTTTAATTCATTGGAAACTGATGGATCTAATTGTATTCTTGAGCTTAGTATGATAAGACGTAGTCTCCTGTAGCACAGTGTCACGATCTGAGGTCACAATCATAACAAAATAAAAGATTTCTTGTGCAGTGTAATCTATTGTCATTCACTGCACTACCAAAGGCTCTGTAATCCTATAAAAGATGCATTATGGCAAGAGCTAATCATTTAGAGTTGTCATACCTTGCCCAAAGCTGCTTAAATTCTTCTGGGGTGATTGGAATGCCAAATCTGAACAAGACTTTCTTCAAGTCCCTTGGCTGTATAATGCCATTTCCTTCACTGTCAAATTCCTGAAAATTCTGGAATGTAAAAGAAATCATCACTAACAAGAACCAACAACTTTGACAAAATGCTTGATCTCTCTATAAGCTTAATGAATACTGGGAATTCAGAAAGAAATAGAAAATCATGCACATCTGAATTTCATCTTTTAATGTTTTTTCATTTGATTTTTACTGTTTCCTACTTCCCGCTATGGATGTGCTTGAATCGGGATTGACATCATAGGTGTTTAGGTGATTTAGTCTGTTTGGAAAGTTTCTTACTGATGGCAAAAACAGGGGATATGAGAATGAGAACATGCATGGAGCTGTGGGTATGTCCACTGCTGAAGCATGCCAGGGAAAGATGGAGGCCCTGGAAAATGGCAGACCTGCAGATTTTCTCCCCAACTTGTTCTATACCTAATATGAATTAGATTTTGCTTTGGGTTTTGGTTGGTTGGTTGGGTTTTTTTTTGGTTTTTAACCATTCGTCTTGCAAACTGAGACTACCAGTACTATTTTCCGATTTACACAAATGTTTAACAAAATAATTATATTCTTTTTTCTTTGTGCTCGTCTGTGGTCCAAATATTGCAACTATTCAACAAGTTAAAAAAGATTAAAAGGTGGAAATAATTTTTATAGGACAGTTTTGTGAGACTCTCTTTGGATGGTAAGCATCACAGTCAATGCTTCACTGTGCTGGGCAACACCAGGTGTCAGCATAGGAGGAGGTGGTGTGTTTGTGTACAGCATGCAGCAAACAGGCCTCAGATGAAGCCCGTTACTACTCTTACAACAGAAACGATAAATGAAACCAACAATAGCAAAATATGAAGAAAGTTTTAGAACTAACTGTAATAGCATCTACTATATAATCCACTTTAGAAAAATTGAGTATTATTCAAACTGTTGATTATTTTTTTTTAATCACATAGTAAGTTTTTATCATTAATGAGCTATTTTGCAAGGGTCTCTTTGAATATTTATGGAATCTGAAGATCAACATTGCATAATGTTCTGAAATCTATTAGTGCTGCTTATTTATTTAAAGAAAACAAGTCTTCTTACCCTTGCTAGGTCATGCCATCTGGTTCTTGCTTTGATAACAAGGTAGTAATGAGCGTGATCATAAGCTAGCTCTGCATCCTTTATCATCTGTTTTTTTTCTCAGAAAAGAAAAAAAATAAAATAACGACTAACTATGTTTTACGTTAGTGGGATCTTTAATCTCCACAAGTTTCCTTCCCCTTTGTTGTTCTTCATGGTAGCAGTGGTTTTGTTTCCTAGTTTCTAAGCTACCTATTAAAGACTGTTACTTGACACCTGTATAAACTTAATTCTTTAAATATTGCCTTATTTCCCTAGCTGCAGGTTAGCGAAGATGTTTTAAATTTCGTAATTCCCTATTTATTTTCAAATCAATGTTGTTCAATTCTCCCTCAAATTCAAGAGCCAGCACGGATCATTTATACGCATAGAAGGAAATGTTAATTATCTCAGAAACAATTATATTCTGGAGTGACTCCAGGAAGATTATCCCTGATTTACATCAATAACGCAGATCAAAACTATCTTTGTGAATTACCAAGGCATGGCTAGTAAGTGTGGGGAGTAAGACTCACATTTGCAAATTCAGCCACCATTACAAGTGCTTGTCTTTTGGGACCCTGGTGCTTCTGGTTGAATCCAAGCATGCAGAGGAATATGGGTGCCTCAGATTAGGATCCAGAATAGCTGTGGCACTATACAGAAAGCTGACTAAATCTGTGTGCTACGCAAGGACACACATACCTGAGTATCAAGGGGACCTTATGTCTCACCATTCTTTGAAATAGTGCATCTTCCTTCACCTGGGAAGAGCAGCCCTTCTTTTGGTGCTCAATACTCTTCAGCTTTTCTAAGCACTTCCAGTTAGAAAACTGGGGATTCCTCTTAACACACAGCTGCCCACCTCATGCTACACCTTAGCACCCATTTCTTCTCTGGCTATTGCTTTGTAAGGAAATGCTGCAGCCATATGGCTTAAGAGCTTGTTCAGCCACACTCCAGGAATACGCTCCTTGGACCAAGATTCTCAAACAAGAGACAGAGGAATATTGATTCTGCAGACCAGGCGAGATGTGGTAACTACATCTGAACTACCCACTGAGTTTCTGTACCACCCATGGCACGCACAGACCAGAACTTATGGTCTGGAGAACCGCAACACTGCAAACTCAAGCACTTCTGAGCTCCTGGCATTCTGGGCCTTGAAAGCCTTTGCTGAGGGCTCTGTTGGGATTTAGAAACATGGATGCCACATGAATCTGGTTTAGGTGCCTGGGAACCTTCTGAGTTTTCCCCACTCCCGCTACTTGAGAGAAGATTCCGTAAGCCTAAACAATCAACCAGTAAAAGCAGTCTAAAAATTTAGCTGGGAAAATGCAAGTACTCTTGAGGCTTTCAACAGTCCTATTTTCTTTGCTGGACTTCTGAAAGAGTAACAGTATTTGAAACAAGGAAATTCCAGAGCTAAATTAAAAATGTTATGATTTCTAGCTAAGTGCAAAATGAAACAGAAATGAGAGCATGACAGTAATTGATCTCAGACTCCAACTGTTAGCAAGACTCAACCATTGTCAGTTTCCTTGTTTTAGACTAAGGTCCTTGATTCGCTTAGTTGTCCAATTCAGGAAAAAAAGAAAAACAAACCAAGCTGATAAATATTACTAACATCAGAGCCAACAGTAATGATGTAAGAGACAAATAAATACTGGGAAACAAGCCTGTGTGTATATACCACATCTTCACTGCCACAGCGGAGATGGGTTGCTGATCAGGAGGTTTTTCAGTCTTGCTGCATCTTGTCATTATTTTTATTAATTTATCTCTCTTTGCATAGTTAAACAGAGTTTCACACTGAGTTTTTAGAATTAATTTTTTAGTGCTTATATGCTATTTATCATTAAATTTAAGCTCAAACTTTAAAATTCGTTTTAAGTAGCATCACTTCTCACAGGAAGGGAGTCTGCAGCACTATTTTCCCTATCCTCCACCCACTCTACAGTGCCTCAGTGCTTCCGTGCACCTCACCTGAACTTGTCTACTCTCAGTGCCCTAGTGTCTGGAGCATGAGGCTTGAGGCTACTGCAATGTACGCTGACAGCGATATTAGTTCGGAGACACTCAGAACTAATCCATTGACTCAGTCCAAACCGACATCTGATTCTCAAACCATGTCCCCAATTTTGCATGCTTGGAAGATGCTGCAAAGTTCTCCAGTTTGGAGGCTAGCTTAGCTCTAAGGCTCCAACTCAGGTACCAATATATATGTTTGACCTTACAGATTTAAGCAGTTCCCAGGGGTAGTTCTGGCATTTTAACCTAGCAGTGGATCCAATATGTGATTTAATGGTGTCATAAATCACTAGGAACTTGGTAGAGCTACCCAACTTCAACTTGATAAAGACACATTTTAATACTATCTTTTTCCAATTATACCAAATACAAATTTTCACACAGCATATTCATTTCTGTAAACACATCAGATTACTGTCAGTAGTAGACAACTTTTTCTTTCTTACTGGTGAGATGGCATGAGCTGAGGAGGTACCTCCTTAGTTTCTTGGGTGTGGAAACGTTGACAGAATTCTTGGTAATTTAATGTGGAGGTCAGGTTCATTCCCAGCAAACCAAGTAGGCGCAGGAATTCCTCATTGCTAAGACGAAGCAAAAAGCTGTCCAAGAGCTGCCGAAAGTCAAGCATGTTGATGATACCGTCGTGGTTACTGTCTGTTTCACGGAAGGCAGAATAGGTGTCCTAACAAGGAATATTTAACTAAATATATTTAACACGTCAACTACATACTTTCAAACATAAATAACAAATGTTTGCTCTAGACTTGTTTTGACAACAGGCAAATATTTTAACGCAGTTTGAGAATACAAAGCATTTATAGTACTGACTAACTAAACATTTGGGATAGTCTGCAGTAAACTGCAGTCTTACTGCTTTTATCTCAAACGTGTACAGACCAGAGCAAAAGTAGGGAGCGTCCAAAAGCCACCCTTGTACAAATTTACAAATTAACCTCCACTTTCCATCAGTACTGTACTGATAGTTACCTCATTTCTACCCATGCACACCCTCAGAAAACCTGTAATGAAGAGAGACCACAGAAATTGATCTACCAGCTGAACAGCTCCCATTAAAACAGACACAAAATGTTCAAACACTTTTAAAATGGTGCAGTTCTTGAGAAACCTGAAGTAATGCTGATCAATATGATCAGCTTTGCTAGGGATGTCCAAGCTGGTTTGAACAGAGGGTCCCTTTTCCAAATGCCACTTCTCCCAGGGAACAGGGATGGGATGAACTGAGCAAAAGGGTAGCGATCGGGGCTTCTCTCCTTTCTAAAATGTGATCTCTCTTACTCCGTGCATATCCATGGTGGGAATCCAAGGAGTACATTCAAATGGTAATTACAGAAAATAATAAGCAAACGTAGGAAAGCTGGAAAATAAGTCCTGATTAAGATCACTGTGTTGCACACTTGCAGGGACTAAGAACATCTCCTTGAAAGATCATTCTCATGAATAGATAGACTGTTCCATGAATGAGTAGTACAGAGTTATTCTTTTCTAATTGCAGAATATTTAATAGCTATGGTCACAAAAGGATGGGAAAAAATAACTCAGATCTTATTTTCCTGGCAGAGGCTGCAGAGAAGACAATTAGGGAAGAAAAAAAAAAAAGTTTTTGCCTTGAAAACTAAATGCATTTGAACTGGAAGTTTCTGAGAACACAGAGGACATGAAGTCCAGCATAATTTTTAGAGTCACTTTCCTGACAGTTCCTCCAAACCAACTTTTAAAACAGATGTTTGTATAAAAATAACAATCAGCTTCAGTGCCAAAAAGCAAACCATGGCTCAATGTATTTACCCCATAGACTTCCCTCAGCTTATCATTAAGTTGATTGAGACATTCTTCAGCAGTCATGTAGTGATATTTAGCATAGTTTACTTGGTGGTTTGGGCTGTTAAAAAATGGCCCATTCAGTCTGGCACCTGCAATAATGAAATCAAAGTATGGCAAACATTGAAAAGATTATATTAAACATACCTGGTAAATAGCACTGTAACATAATACGAACAAAACATGAAACCCTGCAACCATATTCTTTACAGCCCAAACATGACAAAGTGCAGTTGCTCTATGCAGTATTAGTGGTGTCCACCCAATTTACAGTAATGGCCTCAGCTGCTGTAGTTTTCCCAGCACAAGGTGAAGAAGATAATCTCAACTGAAGTAAATACAGCTGAGACAAGGTCTTTTTCTTTTGTTCTAGCCTTCTCTGGTGCGTGGAAGGGAGGTATCAGACTGGAGGAGGAGAAAAGGAGCACTGTGGAAGCCAGGACTTGCTGTCATACCACCCGTCTGTCTCAGTGACGAAACACAGGAGCTGCAGACAGTGTCAGAGAAACTAATTTGTTACATCTTTGACTGTGTAGCACAACTGCTGCATGCTAGACCAACTCCCCTGGGGTAACTCTATCCTGGCTAAGCCCTCCTCCAGTTTGAACCGATGTGCGCTATTTCAGGAGATCTGCCATCAAAACACTCCTAACTTAACAAAGCATCACCCTCGAAACTATTTCACTTGATGTTCTGTTCTGGTAAGACTCAGTCCTGCACAAACAGCAGCTTCATATTGTCACAAGTTTATTATCCCACAGCCCAGGAGGTACAGGAAAGGGTGACGGCCACCTTCCCAGCAGGGGACCCATGTACTTCCAGTCCTGAAGGGCTAAAGTAATTTTAGGCCATAGAAAAGCTATTTTGGTCACTGTTCCAGATCCAATTCCTTCTGCTCACTGTGCAGTGATACTCAAGAACCTATTTCACCTTACTTCTGGGGAAAAAGAGACTAAGCATCTTTTGTAGCCTCTTGAGTGTTTTAGAATTTTTCTGCAACATATGAGCCGTATAGAGGAGCAAAGTAATTCATATCAGATTTTAAAATAGGAAAAATTTGCAAAGAAAAATGTACACACTGATATTTCTCTACATCTCTACTCCAGATTGATAAAAAAGTTGTTAATGCTCTCTTCTAAAGGAACTTTTCTTTTCTTTTTGAAAGATTTACATATATCAATGCACAAGAGCCTGTACACTACTCCAAAGAATCACTAAATAGTATACACTCCATCATTTTAACTTCTCCTGATTTTGCCCTTTAAATTCTACTCTCCACTACAGACATGTACAATCCTTTCCTTTTTTCAACTCCAGTTTCTACGGAAGTCTAGTCAAGAAAAATTGTACTCGTGTTATCTTCCCACTAAAGCTTGTAAGAAAATCAGGTCTCTTTTTCTATAACTACAAACCACCCTCCACCCCAGTGAATCACAAATCATTGAAAAATAAAAGTTGGGAAGGTTTTTTCTTTACCTTCTGGTTTCTGAAACTTACTTTACGTTAAATGTAGGTCACACTCCCTTTTACAACTATGAGATATAGTAATGTATGGAAAGAAAAGCTGTGATTCTCATATTTGCAAAAGCTAAAACTTTAAATACAGACAAAACACTATTTATTCTTGATTTAAATCAAAGAGCTGGCACACTCATTTTCCTCAAGGTTAACTTGTTTCAAACATCTTTTATTAGGCTACTGGATGAAGGCGTACATATTTTGGTGGACAGATGATAAGATGGATATATTCACAAACTTCTGAACTTCTAAGCCTGAATGAAGAGAAACCTGAATATTATGTCAGCCAGTCACAAGTCAGCTCTCCCACTTGTCTTAGTTCTAAGAGAGAAATAATGGCAGAAGGAAATAACAGTAACAGTGTGAAAAAAAGTAAATGTGCACCTCTGAGAAAAATAAGAGGCATAATATGGGAGTTAAAACAGGCTTCAAAGACAATGGCAAAACTTCAGTGGCATCAGAATTTTACCCACAAAACTTAGACTTAAAGTATAAGCATAAAAGAAATGAGAAATTAATAATTGCTAGCTTTAGTCTGCACTCAGGATTCTACCCTAAGAAATCAGTTCAGATTCCATCAGCTTCATTTTTAAGAATTGAAAATCAAACCCCTTACTTGCAGTGCCTTGAAATCAGTGAAATTACTGATGGTGTAAGGCAAGTAGCTGAGGTGAAAAAATATGCTCCTAAATTATGAATATATTCTTCCAGTATTCATTCCTCAGCAACAGTAAATCAATGAAGACTGCATCGTTATTATATGGGTAGACAATACAACTACATCTACACAAACAGTAAACCTTGCTCTCTCACTGGGTTTCTTGATACTCTAATAAAACTATCAATTATGTTATATATAACCACATTTCAGCATTCTCTAGTAGCAATGTCCCTTAACAGCTTTAACATTCAAAAGCAGTACTTTAAATTAAAACCATAAACCAATAAGTAACCAGATCACACCACAGAGCTCCAGTTGTATATACTGCCACTAACACTCATTACTAATGGCTTACCAACAGTTTCTTTCCTGAAAGGATTACTTATTGTCTTCTGGATTTTTACACAGAATAGAAAAAGTTGCTGGATGATATCACTACTACGAAATCATCCATTGTAATTTATGATACAACATAATTCCAAGACTGTGAATAGGAGTTAGAAATGCTGAGGACAAGGATCTACTCAAGGCAGAGCAATCAGTCAGTTACTTTTTGCAATCTGTTAGTAACAACTCTGTGTCAGCTACCTGTGGACCTTTAGTTTTTTCGCATCCCACACGTTCCACTTTCCCTCTTGTCCTGAGTTAGATACCCAGTAGCTGGATCAGGAGTCAAAGAACTACAGACAGGAAGGTAACACATGCACTAAAAATCTTATCACTCATCTCTTCCTAATTTCAACAACAGCCTTTCCTCTAAAGAGAAAAGTTCTGCATCTTACAGGAAAGGTTTTCTTTCATGCTTTATTGCTGTTAAAATTCCTTTACCTTCCAGTACTGCCACAAAATCCAGGTAACTCAAACCTCCATCTGATAACCCTAGCTTTTCTGTTAGTAGATTAAATTGACTGTCATCCATTGGCATGCCATGATCTTCCAACACCTGTTAGAAAAGAAATAAAGTTAGTTATATAATGGCCTATATTCTTGCTTAGTCTGCCATTTTGAATACTAAATATCTGGGTGTTTTATGCTATGGCTCAACTTGAAATCACTCTGAAAATTGATCTCCCTTACATTTACAGTAAACCATTTAAATACAGATCTAAACTGTACTTTCAATTTCAAACTGTACAACTTCAATTCTATACAGAAAGAGTCAGAGAGCAAAACCTGACTATATTTTTGAGGCTGGCATTTTAAGCAAAAACACTGAGTGACAGCCTAAGATTAAACTTCACCTGGAAAGTTAAAAGTACCAGAAGAAATGATGTTAGCTCATTTAGCAGGCTGGAAGAAAACTGTCATTTGTAGAATTTGCTGCTACCGCTTTTCCCCACAAGCCTGTCACAAATACCTCTGGACAAGAACTGCTGCAAAATGGATTCAGGCCCCTGAACCACATACAGCTGCAGCGAGGTGGAAGGCATGATTCCTTCTGCATTGCTGCTCTTCAAAGCAGATCTGGGGATCCATTTTAGGTGATCTATTTTGGCAAGGAACTTTCTGATCTTCCTACATTCCTCTCATGTGCCCTTCTCTTTTTATTTTTGCAGACCCTCGACCTCTCTGCATCTAAGAGGTGCAGCAGTCAGGAGTGGCAGCTGTCTCCCTTTGCGGCCATCTTAATGTTGCCTGGCAGTCGACTGTGGTTTTCTTGTACTTTTCCTGCCTCCTGTTTCCCTGAAAAGTTGTAGTTGCAGCCCCTGCTGCTGCTGAGGGCTTTCTCCGAAACCTTTAATTTCCTTCAGCTGCTTTGTAACTCCTGATTTGGATGTATTTCTTTATAACTATCCTGCACAGCTCCGTCCTGACTTTCCAAGTGTTGCTACAGTGATTATTCTTGCCATTATATTTTAGTTAATTGTACAGATTAAAGGAAAAAATTCATTAAATAGCTGAACAGCATAAGGAGTGTTAAAAAAGTGAGAATAATTAGCAAATTAACATTCCTTTCTATGAATGTAAAGCTTCTGGATAAGCAAGCATATTTTATGTTCAGTTGAACACGTATTTACCATCAGATCAAATGCTTAATAGTAGCGATAAGGAAATCTGGCCGCACAAATCCAATCAAAGCCGAAAAGAATCAGTCACAATAGTAATGTTGGTGACTACAGTCTCAACTATTAGCACTTTCATCTAGAGAAAAGAAAAGTGATAAAACTCTGCCAAAACTGCATACAAGATTAAGTCATACAAATTGTATGACTAGGTCATTGTCCTATGCTGAATGTCTCACAAAAGCCATAGTTTTTAAGAAACTTCCTTATTTAAAGGAAGGGTATTGATGACAACCTTAGAGGGAGGGGGTACTGTAACCCTTCACAAAAGTGAAGGCACACATGCAAGTTGTGGATGTTACCCCAGGACCCCTGACAGAGCTTCAGTTATCATCTTCCTGATTTTGAGCTACATTAAAAATTAGACAAGTCCAAAGGTGCAAAGGCAGGGTCTGTGCCTACTCGCCCAGTTCTCTCTCCTAGGAGAGCCAGGCCAGTGAAGCCAGAGGTACTACGTTACTCTTTGGTAAAGGAAGTGGAGTTCAACATCCCCCTTCGCTAACCTGTCTCACACCTTTGTTACTCCACAGGTAAGCAGCTAAAAGAGGTCCTTATGCTGTAAGCTGTAAAGAAAAATACAGAGAACTGGCAGTGTTGGTATAAACCTGCAAAGGTTAACTGGTGATTCTATGTCTGTGGGTTTGGGTTGTTCAGGTATAACAAGATCAATTAACCTTCAGATGAATGTAAGGGTGCATTTTGCCTGCTCCCTTAATGCTGCTGTAACATATTGTTATGCAAATAAAGAGCTTATCCACTTCCAGGTTGGGCAGTCAGCTTTTGCCCACTTCTATGGTTTGGCCTGGAATAACAAGTATGCTTTTATGTTTACCACCACCATAGTATGCTATTACTGTTTGAGTAACCTATTCCATCTCTGAGGACAAGCAACTCTGCCCAGCTGTACACTAGCTTCCTGGCTGCTCTAAATGAAGTTGTAGATCCGAGTGACAGTTTCACGTGTGCCAATAAGGTGGGCAATGGTGTTAGCACACCTGCCCAGCTACAGAGTCAGGATCCAGTCAAAGAACAACGTGCTCCTGTAGATCACTTTAACTTCAGTGGCACTCCAAAATGCCTCACAGTCTACCCACCTAAATGCATTTGGGACACATCATGTTGCCTATACATTTGCAATAACCTAACATATCCAAAACACCTAAAGCAGCTGGCAGATGTGATACAGAAAGTCCTACATCCTTCTGAAGCAGCAGCTGGAGGCCAGGGGAGATTCACCACAATGCCTACAATGGTGCTGGACACCCATTTCTAGATGTTCTTTATCTACCACTAAAACTGCACAAGCTCTGGGACGAAAAGCAGCTGTGCTGCCAGTGCAGGGATTGATCAACATCTCGGTAGAAATGTCAGGGAAACTAAAGCAGGAAGAATGAGAAAACTCCAGCTGGAATTCTACCTAGACAATGAGGTGGAAAAACCCTTTCGTTTGCAAAAGGTGCAGAGATCTTTAAAGACCACAATTGACAGAGAACTGGTTTTAGCCTGCATTTCACCTGAAAACACACATGCCAGGCAGTTCCCAGAGACATAAGGTAGTCTGTCACTTCAGTTCTGACAAGAAATCCTTTTTAATCACCCTTATTTGCACAGAACTCATCATCATAGATTCCAGGGTAGGCTTATTTCACTCATCACAAGGCAGGACAGAAGAGGACTATTGCAGGGAAACATGCCGCTTTTGAATGATCATAATCAGCAGCAGTAGGGCAGATTTTGCAGGCAGTGTTCGACCCAGCTGGACTCTGCTGAGCTTGCAGGGTCCAAGAACATCACAGTGCAGTGATGCATATACCTGCTGCAGGTACACGATGTTTTTTCTATCCTTTGTGCACTGCTAAAACTTGAGAAATGCATCATCCATAGTGTAATAAAAGAACAATGCAATCACAAAGATTAACTGTTCAATAGCTTCTGGTGCTATACAAATATCTTAAATGTGAGTTGCACACAGACAGCCAACGCAGAAGACAAAGCAGCAGGTAGAATGAGTTTGTTCTGCCTAACAGTGACAAAATGCACATTACTGCATTAGCTGCAGGCAACGTATAAGCTTCTTAGGTATCACACTGTAGTGTAAATCTCAGCAACCAAAGCCAATGTCCCAAAGGTATGTGCCACAGATGTCAGATCTCCATGGGAAGAAGGGTTGCAGTTTAACACATTCTTAATAAGTGTATTATTAACAAGAAAATATTAAAAGAAATGGAAAATGTTTTATGTGTTTTGTCCTCCATCTTTCCCTCCCCTTCACTTCAAAGCAATTTCAATTTCTGCAATTGCAGAAAGATATCCACCTGAGGGTAAGAAGACATGCAGCTGAGTGCAGCTACAGTGTTCGCGGAGGAAGGCTGTATAGCAACAGCCTTCATCCTGCCATACGATGTGGAGCACATACCTCATGGGCTTATGTTGAGAAGGGGAGAAAGGAAGGTAACACCTTGTCATTCCCCCACAGTCAGTACATTTGGCCCTGCAGCAGTAGCTGGAGAAAACATGTACAGTCCATGGTACATGGGTGGGAAGATCGTGTTTATTACTGAACCAGAGTAAAAAAACCACACTGGGACAAATTTTCTCAAGGGACTATACAGACCATTTTCAGAGGTAGAGTTCTGGTTTGACCCTTGCTAACTCCTACCTTACCTCAGCACCTGGACAAAGGGCAGAGCATGCATTACTGTCATAATGCTATTCAGCAGCAGCTCTTGCTTAAACCTAGGTAGACTAGGGAAATATTCCTGCCATCATGTCTCTTTTCCTGCTTAGTCTCAACTTTCAGCAAAGCATTTTGCTTCGGAATGTGAAAAGAAAGAAATGTATAGCTGGGTGCCATCAGAACCACAGCTACAATCCCAAATCCATGACCTCACAAGTCTGTCCAAAGCACAACATGCAGTCAGACAAGCCATCAAGACTGTGATGTGTCCTGGGAACACCACAGAAAACCTGCCTCAAAAAAGACGCCTACAAAATTAAATTGGAAGTCTTGGCAAGTGAAAACAAAACAATTTCAATACATTCGTATTATTGTGGATCCTCTCAGCACTGTACCTGAATGAACTAACCCAGTATCAAAAGCCACCCAACATCAAATAATTATATTGGAAATGTACAACATTATCAAATCCACTGCATTCAAATAAGCCCTACAGGTTCTCCTCTCCAGTTGGGGACCAGTTTATGCCCTGAAATGCTACCAGACGTCTGGAGCAGATTTCCCTGACACTGCAGGTTCCTTTGAAAATAGAGCAAGAGTGAGCAAGGAAGAGAGACGGGAACCCCAGGAGGTGCCCCCTAGTCCCACCATGATTATAAGCCACACTGCAGTCCAAGAATGGTTCAGAGGAAGCTGATGCTCAGAAATCTGAAAGATGGTATATAATCAGCTTAGGTCATTCTCCCTGAAGTGTCATGCTGTATCTGTTAAGAATCTTATTCTTCACCTGCCTATATCCAGTTCCTACCATCTAGCACTGTGGAGCTGCAAAGAGGGCTTAAGGACTCTTGGGTTAAGGCTTAGGTAATTCTTTAAGGTATGCCCACTCCACGTGTGTTATTGGTTGACATTAGACCTCCAAGTCTCAGCTGTGTCTTGCCAGTCCCAATTCCTATGTGTTCTTTTTGACAACCGGAAGCAGTTGAAGGTTTCAAAGTGTAGTGCTGCTGCAGGGTGACAATTTTATGTCTTTAAAGACAAGTTGAGATTCTTTCTCATATGACAAACTGCGTGAGACCTGTTTAGCTCATTACTACCTGAAGCAGTCCTGGAGGATTTAAGTCTAGCTGTGTGAGCAGGTGTATTGCTAACACAATAAGTATCTTTCTGGAAAAAGTACAGGAGAGAGAAAAATAGCTAACATTTTTCCTACCTTCCGCAAGCCAGCTTTATTAATTTTCCCATGTGATTGCTTGTTGTAGGCATAAAAGCTGTCTTTAATAGTCGCTGCCTGTTGTTTCACTCTGTCCTTCAGCCTTTTAATTACTTCATCAACAGTTCTATTCTGGGCATATTTGTTAGCATGATCTTCAATCTGTTTGATTCTAAAACTGAAAGATTGTGCATGAAGACAAGTCACTTATTTTTTGTCATTTCAAACATTTGATTCAGCAATAATGAACAAGACTGCTTTAATGACAAACAAGACACAGACACGGAAGAAACTTCTTTGGTGCAAACCAAAATGATAGGTTGATCAAGTTAGAGCACACATTGATTCCAAGGCCTATATTGTGAAAACATTTCTTATGTACATCTTGCTCTACAGAAAAGAAAAAAAAAGCCTGAAACAGCAGAACAAAAAGTGACCGATACTGCTCTAAAGTATTTTGCAAACGAAGATCCTAGACCTCCAAATCACAGGCTTAGTTTCTAATGAGCCCAAGTTTCTACATCAGCTAAGGAGCCACCTTTAGCCTTTAATACCTCCTCAGTTAACATGAGATGGCTAAGCTAACATGAAAGAAGTTAATAAAAGTCTTTCAATTGATTTTAAAAGGAAAAAAATATCTCTTACGACGTTTTCTCTCTTCCTGGATCCCAACTAAATCACTTCCACGGTTTTTCCTTTGGAGGAATGGCCAAAATACCTTTCTTTCTTGGGCCCTATAAGAAAGTCCACAGACATAGACTATATACTCTTCTTGCTGAAATACCACAACCTTCATCAATAAGCCATTAAAATAAATGACAATAAAATATTTAATAAATTTTAAAGACAGAAAAGAAATTAAATTAAAGGGTATGTAATGTATCCCACTTGTATTTGTTTTACATCTGTTATGGATTTACTATAACCCATGAAAAGGAAAGTTAGAACAATTATTTTTGTTACATTTTAGAGCACGTATTTCCATATGTGCAAAATGTAGAAATATTCAGCAGTCTTATTTTATAGATTTAAGTGTGTTTTATAGTGTTCCCTAAACTTGAAGATAATCTTAACATTTTAACTCTTATTCTAAAAATATGCTAATGAAAAGAGTTCTACTTTGATCTGAGCAGCACACAGAAGATTAACTCTAAGCCTCCCAAAAGGGATCAAAAGATGACAGTGACTGGTGACTCCCTCCTGAGGATCTCAGATGGACTTATCTGCTGAAGGCACCTGGTCTTCTGAGATATCTGCTATCTTGCCTGAAAGCAAGAGGTTGCCAAAGCACTACTAACTTTACTTGTCCCATCCCACCCATTATTATATTCTCCTGCCTATCAACATAGGCCTTGCCATGACGGACCCTGAGAAAATGAAAAAGTAGTTACAGGACAGGTGATGAAGGTAAACCTAAATAATCTTTATACCCTTCCTCCTTATTGAAGTTCAAGACTACGGCAAAGGCTGGATATGTCCTGGAAATAAATGAATGATTACTTGCAGGTTGTCATCTAAAAGACCATCTTCCCTGTCAGGGGCTTATTCACAAAAACCTCTCTTTATCTACTAGTTTTATAACCTAGTAAAGAAGCCTTAGACTAGATTGAAGAAAGGAGCTGACATAACAGCTGACAGGACAGTATTAACCACAGCCAGTCGGCTGAGGACCTAGAACTACTTGGAACAGGGATATATATTACAGGGTCACAGAAGAGACTAAACCAGACAGAACGGATGAAGCATGCTGGTTGTCAGTACATGGATATAAGAAATGCGGTATAAAGACAGGGACCTGGAAATCCTTATGGTTTTTGGAAGATCCTGGAGTCTTACTGTTCAGTACATTAAACCTTATTTATAATTCTACTAATAAAAACCTATGAGAATATGAGTGCCACACTGGTAGGATGCGTAATATACATCACCAACAGGGAAAACAGGATTTGGATTTGAAGCTTTTGGAGATTTGGAGATTTTTTTTCTGAGGAGAAAAAAAAAAAGAGGCAAAGCCATCACAGTATAAGAGAGAAGCATGAATATATACGACCAAAAACTGAAAGGCCACAACACAATGTGACATTCAATACCAAAAATATCAAGAGTGATGAGAACTCATTCTATAAACGCTTTAGTAATATAAGAGGGATCAAGAAAAAATTTGGCTTTCTATTCAACAGAGAAAGAAAACTACAAACAGATTGTAATAAGGGGATGAAGCACTTAAAGCCTCTTTTTGTATCGGTCTTCGATAGTCAAATATAAGCAGGCTGCTTGAAAAATGAATATTAATAACAAATAAGAAAAAGCAAATTACAGAATATTGCTATGTATTCATCTTGGTTCTTAAAGAACTAGATAAAATTGTCTCCCAAATTTATGCAGAAAAGCAAACACACTACCTAGCTTTAACAAGAGGGAAAGAGAACTGGAGAGTTACTGACATATTTCTAAGAAATGTATTCCTGCTTTCAGGCAGTAATTACAGAGTCACAAAGAGTTCAAAGCCTGTTAAGAGACACAAGAGCCACAAGGGATCCTTGAGATCTACCCTGATTCCAGGCAAGCTTAGGTTTTAAATTATACTCCCTTCCAACCAGCACCACTTTTACCTTCATTTCCTAGGGAAATAAGAATAATGCAATCAGCCTTTTCATCTACATCTGTCAGCCTTTCCCCTAAATTTGGAGTCCATCTACCAATTTCTGTCAAACTTGAGAGGAGTAGTGGCCTTCAGATACAGCAGTTACAAGGTTTGTGAAATTGACAGTCATGAAAAGGAAAGGGACTCTTCATTCTCCTAGCTGGGAAGTCAGGGACATTAACTTTTCCATTTGTTAGCAGCTAGCCAAGCAATCAGCATATGTGCTTCTCTGGGCTAGCCATGCACTGACTCTTGCCCAGCTGCCAGCTTGAAGTACTCATGAGAAGTATGTTCTTTTTCTACCTTCGAGTGATAAGCCACGAATACATTTACCAACTGTGTGAGACACCAAAAACCTAACCCAACCATCTACTCTAACACACCAGTTCTGGGTGCTAGAATGCTTCCTGAAGGTATGAATAAAGCGCCACATTGTGGCTCAACAGAAGTTAGGGACAGAGATATTTATTAGGGAGGCCACTGATTTATCTTGAGTTTAGCGTACCGTTTCCTATTGACAGAACGGTATTCCATGTTGGTGAGTCAGATGCATTTTTTTTTTATCTTGCCAGCTCTCTGCTTTGACAGCCTTTCAGTAGAAATGGCATTGTATCTCAGTAAAAATGACTTTGGGGAATTTCTGAAAGATCTTTTGACCTCAAGAACAGGAGGGACAAACTCAGCTTGCAGAAAACAAACGGGTTGATTGCTTGATTGAAGTACAGCTCATGTTCTGCTTTGGGGACAATCTTGGAGTGCACCTGCAGGAACACTGTGTTCCCAAAAAATATTACATAGAAGGATTCAGCCATAAGGTCTTAGATATCTCCTAGTGTCTCGGAAAAGCAAATTAGAAAAGAATTTCAGAGACAGAGGCAGTCTGGTAAAAGTCCTGAGGGTTAAGATGAAGGCCACTGTAGAACAGGATCTTTCACAGGCAGGGACACACCCCAACCTTTCAAAGAACTTACAGGTGGAAAGATGTGGAAATACCTAGATTCCACCTATTGCAGACCATTGATCCAAAATCACCACTTCGATAAGAAAGAGGCCAGGCTTGCTTTCGTAGAGACTTCATGTAATATTTCTTTTCCATTACTGGTCACCAATTCTTGCTAAAGAGAGGAGTGGACATAATATGGCAAATGAAAGCCACACAGCACACATTATATAATGAAGAAAGAGGTAACGTTAAGATTCATAAGGATGCTGAAGTTTCATTTTAGCAATTCCAGGACAGACAGAAGCCTTGAACTCCAGGCTAGAAGACTTAGAATGTGTTGGTACCAGAATTGACTTGGCCACCAGAGAACATCACTGGGCCAAGAGGAACTGAAGGGAAGATGTAAACCACTGCTTATAATTGCAGAAGGAGCAAGTCATCTGACATAGTTCCAAGACACTGACCAATTCAGAAACTGAATTGGTTCTATTTTAAACTTGTCAGAATGCCTAAACGAACAGTTCTTGTCAACATCATAAATAAAAGGTCAGACCTGGTATGTTTGCAGCATGGTCCCAGCTTTCCGGACAAGGGATTGACTCACTCCTGTTGCAGGCATGACATTGTAAAATGACTCAAGCCCCATGTGCCTGAGAACTTGTCTCAGGTGAACTGCCGGCAGGCAGCCAGGTAACACTTCCAAACAGTTGATGTCCTCCCAATAGCTAGTGACGGACCACACTGTATAAAGCAGTTCAAAGGCCTCATAGCCAACAGACGCCTTGGCAAGAAAGCAAAGAAGATTGTGGTCTTTTAAAAAATATCCCAGAAGGCTTGTATCATCCCAAGACTCATTAGGAGAGAGAGAAGGATGTCGTGCCTGAGAGGCCTTCAGAAGGTGGATAGTATGCTCTTCCTCTTTGCCTTTCTACAGCAGAGCTTGGCAAAGAGTGGTGAGTTCTGGTGAGTGCAAGCTGTCCTTTGGCAGGCATTTGATTCCTCATATTGGTGATTCAAATGCCGAATATCCACTGCCAATTTCTCTATGTTCATGACAGAAACATGAAGGTCCTGGTGGGCCTACAACCCATTCTGTGAGAGCTTTGCTGCAGGCTCTGTTAAGAGTGGCACTGAAATTAGTACTCAGAGGCCATTGTTCATACCTATGTTTGGTGTTTTTGCAACATTCCACCTCCTTTGAGAAGCGTGTGGAGATTCTATGGCAAGGCTCTAAGACAGCAGAGCAGAGACAACAGAAATGGGTTTTTTGAGCCATAGGAATAAGCTGCCAGTTCTGACACATGAATGCACAGACAAGGCAATCCCTAGAGCAGCTCTGAAGGGGATTCAGAGACAATGAATCTGTCAAACATTCCCCCCATTCAGATGGGGACATAAGAAACACAAGAAGGTCTGGCCATTGCAGAGGAAACAAAGAAGTCTGAAAAGAATCTGAGGCAAGCGAGGTCATTCTCCTGTCTAGAAAGCTGTTGACAGAAATGTGAGCTTTGCATAGGGCGTTCTGTTTTATGGAATACCAGCCTAAAAATGAGGGAAGATTGGCCGTGAGCATGCCTCCATGGACATATTAGAGTAAAACATTATCTGGGTCAAGTGAAAGGAAATACATGTGTCCCAGATCTGACCATACATGTAGATTATCAGGCAAATAGAAGAAAAACCCCCTATTTTTATGAGAAGTTCGTCCCACTACAAGGAAAAGTTTGTTGTTTCCCCACCCTGATTATGCAGGCATTTACATATATTCGAAAGTAAAAAGTGAAGAGAATCAATAAGTCATACATCTTTGTAACCTGGATGCCAGTATCAATGATGCTGGTCCAGCCGTAGGCGGTAGCTATGGCCTGCAGTAGTCACAGCCATCAGTTGTGCCAGAGTTCCTGATCCTCTGAGAATGTTCAAATCCAGTTCCTGAATAATGAGCTGCACTGATTCTACAGAGGATCACAAGTTTACTCTTCAGATGTTATCCAGAGGGCAAACCCCCAATTTTTGAATGATGCAGTGAGATATAATCCTTGTGGACCCTGTAAAGTGAGCTCAACCATTTTTACCTGAATCCTGGAGTCTTTGATGAATGATCTGTGTGTGTTTGCTCTCTTGATGCAAAGCTTTGAGCGTTATACAATTTTGAATATATCTGCAAAATGAGAGATCAGCCCAGGACGGTACTTACCATTAGAAAAACAGCATGTATCCTCAGTCTATCTGAAAGTCTCCTTTCTATACATATTTTTTCTTTACATTAGATAGAAAATTGTCTGTAATAACAGTACCTTTTTGAAAGCTCTGTTTGCCTTTTTTCTTCTCTTTGTTGTTTTTCCTTTGATATATGTGAGCTGATACCATTTAAGTCACCAGAAAGAACAGCAACTTTTAAGTTATCCAAAAGCATCTTGTAAAAGATTCCATCAGAAGAGTTATCCTTGTATTTATAGCATAACCTGCATAAAATAAGAGTTTAAAATAATTTGGGAGGTTGAGAACAATGCATAATACAAATGTCTCAAGGCAATGACTATCAAAGTAACACATTTCCTTTCCGTATACAGTTAAGGGTGTTATTCAGAAGGCTATCCTTAGGCACTGGAAACTAGCCTTCCCAGGCTCCTTCTGTAGCCTATAGAGAAGGCAGGAACCTAACTTAAAATACGATATCATTATCTGGAAGAGTTCCATTGACTCTAGAAGGAGCCTAAGCACACAAGCCTCCCCAACATACAGTTACCTTTGTGAATACCCTGCGTAATTAAAGCTTGAATATATGGTGGACACTTGGAAGACACTTGGCTCACCTGACAATAAACTGTCAAATTCAGCTGCATTGGTGGAAGTGTGACCTAAGATCACAGCCACTGCACAACTAAATCTGTCAGAAATCATGAATGAAAGCCCTTGTTTACCTTAACTTGCTGCCTGGCATATCAATATGAAACAAAATCACTAGCGGCCTAAGTTAATACTCCTGGATGTGAACATTAGCAGCTCAAGAGCAGACACACTGTTTGTTCAGACACTTCTGTTATTCTGAGGGCAATTCCCAGTGAAGAGGTCAAGCTGGTAGTTCCCTCGGCCTGTTAAATTACCCTCTTTAACCATTTTTGTATAAATTAGCAGATCTCATGAATCAGAACACTTGTCATCACTGTGTCACTTCTTCACTGAGCTGTTCAGCCTTCCAGGATTTCATTCATGTTCGTAAAGCTTTGGAGCACTCCTGGATGAAAGTAGAAGGCTCCTGTCCTTGTGCTGGGGATGCATGGCATTCTCTGCACTCTACTTATTCCAAGCGCCTATTCTATTTAGAATGACATTAAAAAAATACCTGTGGTAAAAAAACGCTTGTAATTTAATGTATCAAGTGCCTCAATGCTTTCCTTCTGGGGAAAAAAAAAAAATATCAAAGCTTTAATTTCTTTTGAAAAGTCTAATCCACACCATATACACTGCAGGCAAGAAAGTGTCAGGGGGGTGAGAGGGAGGGG